TGTCCGTCGTCTCTGACCATCGCTGGTGTGACCTACCATACGTGTAGTACAAATTTATATAAGATTAAGGACGTGGGCTTTTATGTGTACCACATTAAACTATGTATGCAAGGAAGTGGGTATCCTTTTCTCTCGTGATTGAATGAGTAATGGTCTTACATTCCCTTTAAAATTTATATAATTGTTGCGCTACAGCAGATTGCGAAGGAAGAGCATTCTGGGCCAATCGATGGTGTCTGTCGGTCATCAGATTCACTCCTCACCTGATTTATACCAGCTGATTTGTTAACACATGAGTGTTTGGTCCCACAGTGCCTAAACACTATTTTAACAGAGGCACAATATCGCGTGAACGTAGGTAGCGGCTTGTATATATATGTGCAGCAAAATGTTATATGAGCACGTTTTGCTCATCTTCTATGTGAGCAAAGTGAATATGCAGCTGCGCTTATGTAATATATGTCCGTAATTGTAAATTACAATATTGGCATCTGGCGTCTCAGCATTTAACAATTTATTATACACGTCAATGAGAACAATACCATCATAAGTGATATCTCATTTGTGACGACTACAATCTTTCATCAGGTTTGCGTGTTGTATCAGCGTGCGACACACCTCATATTTATGTAAGCATCTGCGTACCACCACTAGATAAATTATTGGCTAGATCCTTGAATATGTCTACTTATGATGTTGCTTGTCGACATGTGCTGTCTCATGCTGAAATGATTGTACTTGATACATCGTCTCCCGCATGTGCTACACGCCTTTATCCATGGCGCTGTCTCATCTCGTTCAAGTTGACACGATACCGCCATGTGGATATCTACACTGTTTTATAATGCTGATTCGTGCGGTCAAAATAATAAGGCAAGTACTGTGAGCTTTCCATCGAGCGATGAGAATAATCTTCGATCACTTTAAAGCGCAGATCAACCTCGTCCTCACATCCAATATCTGTATCTAAAAAATGTGATATTGGTCCTAATTGATGCATATCGTGAATTAATGCAAAAGACATGCGCGAGTGTTGATGGACTCAGGCATGTGTCCATTCAGTCGCATTGTTTTTAGTGTTGATATTTATGTCATTTTCTAAATTTATCAATATATCTTATAATAATAATTTTTGCTGGGTGCACATTAATTCTCAGCTTGATGCAATTAGCATTTCCTTATCTTGTGGTGCGTTTTATCGTTGATCAATTGAATGGATTTTATATTTCGTGATTATGTCGTGCATTTCGTTTACAATCACTTTGTATGCATTAAATACGACTCTAAGTTGTCCACTACAATTATGGTCCAAATACGCTTTCTCTACTCTAGTTAGGTGATGTATAGGTTGTACTGACCTTATTCTGCATCAGTGTAAGTCGTATGTGCTATGGATAGTGCAGGCACTGCGCACCTCGTAACCAGAAAAATGTTTCGTATCCACATGCTTTTATGATTATTTTGAGCGGCAAGCATTAAGATGAGCCATAGATGTGGCGCGATCAGCTAAATTATGATCCTATTCGCGCTAATAATCTCTAAGAGTGGCACTTCAAGATATTTTCGTGTTGACCTCTCAAGGGCGTGCGAGTGTTAAAGCTAACAAAAGTGGTAGAGCTGAAATCTAATGGGGCACTTATCACTCTGTAATAGAACACCAGTACGGAGTTAACTCTCACTGACAACCATAAAGGTCAGTGCCCTTTAGGTATAAGCACAATACGGAGGAAAGGCAATCAACTAAAGAAATACTTAAGTTTTAGAAAAAGTAAAACTGTTTTTTAACATATTGAAGTCCAATCATTACTTATTCTCTATTTTGACCTATGTCAAGGATAATATTAAAACGGGAAAAATTGCTCTATATTATTGGAAAAAGGCCCTATGTCCTAGTATACTCAAGTTAAGGAGGCACACGTACAACCGCACGTCCTTAGTCATTTTTGTTTTCCATTTGACGGCTGTGACCAACCTGCACCCTGTTCGGGAAGCCGCGGAGAGGATTCTGCTGCGAGCGTGCTGCGCTTTCATCCAGCAGTTGCAGGCACAGACGCAAGATACGCGTACGTAAACGCGTTTTTGTATCATAGGTCGCGGCCGTTAAAGAGTCAGTCCGTGCTTATGTGGATGACATATAGGTGATTGCTTTTGTTATTGTTGTTTCAGTTTCTATTGTTGCTGCTGCTTCAGCTGTCGTTGTAGGTGATGCGGTTGCTGTGCTCTTGTTCTGTAGATAATTCTACTGCTGTTGCTTCTGCTGTTGCTACTGATGTTGTTGTTGTAGGTGCTGCGGTTGCTATTAATGTTGTGCTACTTGTATGATCGCATTCTCTTCCTGCTTAACAGTTTTGGTGCTTAAAAACACATAATCATATCAATAGACCTCAATGACTCTATTCTTTCTGTTTAGCTCTTATTGATGTCTCAATGTCTACAGACTTTGTCGTATGCAGGCTTATTTCAGGAAGGAAACGTGCGATGATGTCTCAAGCGTATTCGTCAAAGTTTTTTCAGCCAATTGAACGGCAATGTGGTAAGATCATTAAGAATACCAGGACGTGGGGTATTTTTCAATTTATGTGATTAAATGGGGCAATATTTTTTCCCCAATATAACTGAACGCATGATGACATCTACTCACCACCCATCGCTATCGTCTAGCAGCGATTGGTGCGTTGGTTTGAACATAATATCAATCAATGATTAGACCTTTGGGTCATCTCATTAATATCACTAGAATAAGTAAAATTGATACAAGAAAATAAAACATAATATTCTTTATTACCATTCGCACAATGTCGATTTCAGGTAACGGGCTAACCCATTACATAAAACGCACACTGTCGGCTGTGGTTTGTGACTTAAACTTTGTAAGGTAAAGTCAGGACTGAATTTGAGTCATTCTAAATAATTCTTGTTGGTAACAACGCAGCCGGACAACGACAAGATGACCCTTATCTGCCTGGTGGCTATAATAAAAGAAATAGATACAGGGAGAAGGTTAAGTATTCCTCCAGAGCTGTAATCCTTACCACATATCATTCACTCCCCGACTGACGTTGAGCACCACATACTTGAAGCAACCTCCTAAAGCTTTGTGTTCGTAGCTACCCACTCATATCCAAATAGTTCTGTCGCAGGGACATGTTGGTCGTTACGAGATTGAATGATCTGTGTGATTTCTTGTTTGCTGAACATTGTATTCCCTCCAGTTAATTTGTTTGTATAAACGTAGAGCCCACTAACCAGCGTACTTTTTCGACGTGCACCTAGTGCCCCAATTCGTACAAAAAGATTGTTCCATATAACCACCTGACAATATAATTGTCTTCTTGTTGAACCGAGCTCCGCCTTGATAACATCTGCTCATCTTGTCAGCATCGCTTAGTCTACCAAGCCACCATATTTTGTTGTAACTTGAGGTTGGCAATTATATAATTTTGTCATCTCTCAGCCATATTTTTATATCCCGCCATAACATACAGGGTTCGCCGGCTGGGCGGGGCTCTTTACGATGTTGGCGATAATTATGCGAATGTTCTAGAATGCATTCACCACTATGAAAATATGTGCTCCACTCGCTGCAACATCCTGTTAAAAGGCACATATTTCTGCGTACTGTATCTGACAATTGTTGGATACATCGACCGGTGTGACGCCGCACAGCGCTGCTACCTGAATGAGTGTGATCCTATTGCCTTTTTTAACATGATATTGACACTACCAAAATGTATGTCAACACAAGTTTGTATCCGATATCCTTTGCATAGAAACCGTCTAAAAATTCAAAAGGAAACGTTAAGCACCCCCCAGGTTTTCGATAAGCGCCCCCACCCCTATATATTACCGTAAGTTATGTACTTTCATGCTATGATTGGTCATAATAATACGTCATATTGCTAAATACTGGCAGCCAATCCCAACACTATAATTGCATCCTTTTTTCTTTTGCCCACACGCTACTAATTCAACTGGTAAAGAATTTACATTAGCGCTTAAACACCGTAGTCAGTCATTCTCATACGGCTCTGCTACCACCTCCTGCTACCACCTCCTGCTACCACCTCCTGAAACTTCATACTATACGCTGGAGCGAGCCCGTAAAGTACTTAATAAACATGCAGGAACTCATGGCTATGTCCTAACGATCAAGCGTACCGAGAGGGTGGGTATTAGGAAAGATTAGGCAATCAAACGTACCATTTTATGGTGTTCACAGGGAAATAGATACATGCCAGTTGCTGATGACGAAGAATCAGCAATGAGAACGATCAAGCGCATAAGGGCTAGTAGAAGCACTGGGTACCGTTTCGAGGCTGTCATTCAACGCCAGCGGATGCAGACTGCCTATCCGGGGAAACGTTATCGATGAAAGATCAGTATGGCTCTTGTCAGACGCCACGTGGAGCCACTACCATCATCGAAGCATACGTTAGTCTGGTTAGTCAATTGTACAGGTACTACGAAGATTGATGTACCTCTTGATAGACCTCTGCGGCTGGTTAGAAGTCACTTTCGAATATAGTGTTGATGGATGCCTTCGTTACAGTGCACATGCAGGATAATCGCTACAAGCCCGACCTGTTCCAGAATCGCTCGTATAAAATTTATTTTTGACCGAGTATTGGCTCGGTCAAATGATTAAGCTGATTATTAAATTACCACACGTCGCCGACCTAACGACACGCATCGATTATTCAGATTTAGAATTGAATCATTTGTAAATGAGATTGTAAATTACTTCTGAGACCAGTAATATTCTCGATCCTACGAATCGGAAGGCGTAAATCGAGTAAATTACGGTAATATATAAGTGTCGGGGGTGGTGGTTAACGAAAACCTTGGGGGGGCGTTAACGTGTCCCTAAAATAAACACATGCAAAAACAGGACACCCGGCACCACGAGAGAAACTCGCGGGCCATCCGTCGCTCGGTTTGCATGCGCCACACCACACTAATGTCCACCACACCATCGTACCATCACTCTGCACTTTGATCGCATGGGCAACGAAGCGAGTCGCGGCGCTGGAGCCCCCAGTCCGAGTCCGCAGAGCGCGGGGGTCGTGCCGCCGCGCTCCCCGTACACCCCCACCGGCAGTGCGTCTCGTCATGCGCAGGGCTTCCACGTGCGCGCTCCGTCGCCGACTGCCGCCGGAACGCGCGTCGGGGTCTCCTCGTCCAGGACCGATCCTGTTAAAAACCTGCGCAAGGACCGGACGATTCAGCACATGGACAAAGCCATTCGACGCCGTGTGCGGGGCGCCGTGACGTACAACATGAAGCTGCTGATCCGCGGCGCGACCGGCACGGGCAAGACGTCGCTCTTCCAGCGGCTCAAGGGCGAGCCGATCCCCGAGACGCACCGGTCGTCGCCGCAGCTTCAGTGCGCGACGATCAATTGGGCGCTGCGGCAACAGCTCGAGGAAACGGTCAAATGTGACGTGTGGGACGTGGTCGACAGGGGGTTCGTGCCAGGTGAAGCTGAAGAAAAGGAGCGGAAAGAGGACTTGCACGGGTCGGTATGCGGTGCTGTTGCTGGAGTGGGTACGAGCGACCAGGTCTGCTGCAAGAAGCTAATGGCGGAGAGTGTGTCGGCATCTGCGACAGTTGCCGCCGTCGCTGCTGCAATGCAGGATGGCGCCCAGCATTTCACAGGTACGGCAGACGCGTCGACCGTGGACGTGTACTATGAAGCGCATGGCGTGATTTTCATGGTGGACATTACCAAGTATGATACACTGGAGTATGTACGAAGAGAGCTGAACAACGTACCGGTGCATATTCCGACGTTGGTGCTGGGGAACTTTCGAGATCAAGGGGCCCACAGGCAGATATATACAAAAGATATTCAGCAGCTGCTGTACGGATCAAACGAAGAATTACAGCGGCAGCAGCAGTGGCGACGACCAACGGAGCTGCTGTATTTCGAGTGCTCCTTGTTGGATTGCTACGGACTCAAGTCGCTGCATCAGTACTTCGGTATTCCGTTTTTGCAATTAAAACTAGCGACGATCAGGAAACAGATGCGTATCGTGGAGGACGAATTTGCCCATCTAAAGCACGATGTTCAAGCAACTGTTACGGAGCAGCGCTACGTCGAGTATGTGAAGCTGATCAAGACGACCGGATCGGATATTCGAACAGGCAGACGTGGCTCTGGGTGTGATGGTACCCCTGCTGCTGCATCACAAAGCAACTCTGTCGTCCTATGCCCTGACGAACGTGGTACAGCAATGCCCGTCACGGGGCAATATGGTGGGCATGTTGACGTCAGTGTGGTGACCCAGGATAACGGCGCGGGGACTTTACAACAAAAAGATTTTACGGTGGCTGCCACGATTTGTAAGCTCAATGACGCGTCACCGTGCGGAGAAGTGGTAACGAAACATCCAGACAATAACGCTTTTTCTGCAGACGTCAGCAGTGCTGATGCAACGACAGCAGCGTCAACGTGTGAGTACAAGGATAGCGTAGTACCAGTTTCGGACGATGCAGGCGGAGTTGTTGCCGCTGAGCTTCAAGTCAAATCTTACACTGAACAAAGGAGCGAGGTTCACAATTCAAGCAATGCTTGTTCAAGCTATTGCGAGAAGACTTTGCCGGAAGATGAAATCTACCTTGAGGACTTTCAGGTCCCAAAAACAAGTATTGGCGATCTGAAGCAGTTTTACTCGGAGAACGAAAGCGACGAAGATCATGACGGCAATGACAACGACGTAGTGGTTACACGTGGAAATGTATCGATAAAGGCAACGGCTCGTGGCGTCTATCACAAGCAACCTTTTCTTGACTCTGATTCTTCAAATTCGGACGATGGCGTGTCGATGAAATACCAGCGTAGGCGAGGAAAGAAAGCGCTTCGTGATAGTTCTCTTCATCGCGAAACGGCTGAGCCGGCAAACAATGTCACGAACGAGGCGGATCGTCAACAATTCCAGTCTCCACCGACATCTACTTCCTCACTGCCGCTACCAGCGTCTCTTCGATCTAGGCAGGAAAGCAGGCCCGGGTCTCCAGTGCGAGCCTCGCTGTCTGAAGTTCGATTCTCGCTTAGTAGTCCGATGAATAAGTCTCACAGTGCGCCTTGTGAAGTTTTGTCGAAGCATCGGCAACGATGTAGCCCGATAGCTAGCAAAGCTGCCCTGTCCACCTCTGCGCCAGCTTCGTCGCGCCGTCACAAAAGCGGGAACCGAGTTGCTGTGACAATATATGAAACACGCAATCTGGAGTCGCCAGCTGACAGTGAATGGTCCTCGTCAAGGAAGGAGTCTGCTTTAACAAGAACAGAGGATCCTAAGAGCTTGGGCGGCCAACTATCTCCGCTAAAGTGTGAAAAGCTGAAGAACGTAACGGATGGGGCAGTTGATCGTGCTGGCGGTGTAAGCAACCAGGCTCGTATCAGCAGTCCTACTTCTGAAACAGACACTGAGGAGAATGAACGGTCGATTACACCCGTGCAAGAAGCCCTTGATAAGAGCACTGTTTGCGAGCCTAAGGGTGATGTCCACCTTCATGAACAAGCGATAAGTCTTGTCAACGAAAAGGTCAATGGGCGATCGGCCGATATTGCATCAAGTGACTCAAGTACGGGCAGCCCCAGCAAGCTAGACACTTCTTTCGCCGACTATGAAGAAAAGGCAAATCATGATGATGGGGGGACTGCAGAAGTGCAAGTTGCCGCGGACGCAATCGGACCACCAAAATCTGCCACCCGGAGATCGCCCTACCGTCATCAAAACGAGCTTATTGCTGACAAAGACAGCGACGATCGGACCAGCGATGAGGGCGGCTTTGTGAAAGGAGATGGAACATCGCGTGAAGAGTCTTTACTGATTGCCAACCCGCCAGCGTCGGTGTTGCCGTTGCCTGTGCAGCCAGGCACTGCAAAAAGGAGGAGTGCTACAAAAGAGGAACGACGGAAGACTCTGGGACATCTTCATCAGAGGAATTTGCACATGCATGTTGAAGGTGATACCTCTTCGTTATCGGCACTTCAAGCATCATTACCGTTGCCCGATGAGACTGCGTCACCGCTATCACGAATTCAGCGTGAAAGTGTGGAAGTACGAATGGGCGATTTTAATGATATCAATGGGTGTGTGGTCGATGCAGCACATGTGTTGTCCGATTCTCTGCCAGTTTCGATACCTAAAGCACGTGTGCCTAACTTCGGGACTATTGTGCCCAGCAACGATCTGGAAGCATTTTTGAATGAAAGTGATAGCGAGTCAGATCATGCGTCACCTTCCGCTTTTGTTAGTCCTGCAGCGGGGACCGAGCGACTGACAGAACGGCGCATAAACGGAAGGAAATCGGCTGAGTCTAGTGATGACGGGGACGATGAAGATGATCAGAAGCGCTTTGTGAGCTACAGCATCAGCAAGAAGAAAAGGTCTGCACAGAGACGCCAGCATAAAGAAGACTTGCGCCAGCTGCATGCTGCTCTCGAAAATGACCCTTTTACTTCATCCGCAAGCGCAGCATCGACGACCAGTTTATCACTTGAAACACCAAACGTATTAGATGCCCTCCGCAAGGCTGAAGAGGTGGCTATGCGCATGGTGTCAACAGATCCAGCATTTATGCTCCCCCCGTCCAACTTCGTTTCATCCAAGAAGCAGCATTCGCACAAGCACAAGCACAAGCAAGAGCGCAAGAACAGAGACGATGAAGTTCGCAACTCGAGAAGCATCAGAAAAAGCAGTCGGAAGCAAGGTTCAAGCTCGCGTTCCAGAAGCACTGTCGACATGTAGTTATGTCGGGTGCCCATACTGCGTCAGCATTCACACAACAAGTGTGTACAGGCGTCGAGAGACATAGACAAGCATTTGGATATCTGAGAGGCTAAGGCCATTGTGGCTTCTTGCAACGTTCGCATATGCAATCTCACGCATAATGAAACGTGTGCTCGACAGCTTTGAGGCTTGGGTCCAGCGCCGTCCGGCCCTAGGCTTCGAATAGCCGCTCACCATCGAGGGGCAATGTGCTTGACTGAAAGCTGATGTCGAGGAGGGTACTTGATACTATCCAAACGACAAGCGGTAGTCGATACACGTACTCGAGAAGCGCTTGCATTGTCTTATGACGAAGGCGACTCCGATCCCATTGCGATGCCTACTGACATATGCTGGTGCGAGCTGCTTGCAGATACAGTCGGATGTCTGAAGGACGCAACGTCGTGCGCTGTTTCCTCATGTTTTTACGTGATGCTTGCTGGCGCGCAGAGGATGGGGTTTACAACGTGGCTGGGATAAGCGACGTTGTGACCAGTCGTCAAGCAAAGTATCGCGTACTCGGTCAAGCAGTGCCAATTACGATACTCGAGTGCCCTGGTCCTGAGCACACTGACATTCAATATTGGAATCGAAGTAGCCTGCTTCACTATGCCCCAACCTCAGAACGTTCTAAACGCGTGCACACACGTTTTTTTCAAATCGAAATCACTGCATTGGAAGGGCTTCGCACGTACGGCAAGTGCTCTTCGTTTGTTGCATGTAGTGCGTTAGCACAGACAATAAAGTGAGCCATTAGACGTTCGCGTGCAAGGAAAGAACCGCTTGTCGATACTCAACGCTTGTCAAGATTCACAGGTAACTAGTACGCCGTAGAATTATGTTCTGACAGCACCTAGCGCTCGACACTCATTGTACAGCTCCTGGTCATCGGCAAGTGTTGCGCTTTTTTTGCAAGGCGTCCAAGCTGCTACTTCTTGCATTTTTCCAGATTAGAGATCGCCACTCCGCCTGCTTACTTTTGCGAGGACGTTAAGACTCGAGATCATTGGGTTCGCTTTCGTTAAACTTACTATCTATTCACGCGTCGAGACGTATGACAGTAATGCGAAAGAAGTTGTTTACCGACAACAGGGAGAGCTGTTTTATCGGTAGACCGTGCAAATGCAGTTTTGCTCTGAGAGCATGTGGGTCTTGCTGTTATCACTGACAACGCAAAAGTGTGTCAATCAATGACGATTATGCGCTTACTTAATCGCGCGGAAGGATTCGCGAGGGTGTATGGTCATCCTATCGTATTAGCGCAACCCGTCTACATCAATTGTTACCCTTGACATGCTCCCCGACTCATTCCGTGTGAGCTCCCGCTGCCGCCCTCGAATGTCCGAATGCTGACGTTGGCTCAGCAAGTCCATGTGGTTGGCCTTGCAAAGGATAGCATCGTATAAGGAAGCGCTCGTACGTTGCTGAAAGTCGCGATGTGAAGCGTTGCTGTGGAAGCACGGACAATGTTCCGATTTAGCTCTTGGATGAGGTCTGACCTTAGATTTGAGCCAAGGACAAAGCATGGCGTTGTTTCGGTCGATGGCCACACGACATGCAGAGAAAAATGGTCGCTTCAAGCGACCAGGTTGTGTCTCCGTAGAAAAGGAGATAAATCGTTTGGATACGTGGAAGCTCGCGCTGAATTGTAAAGCAACGCTGTCAAACAGTTCTACATACTAAAAATCTCGGCAATGGCGTAGCGTTGGGGACAATGCCTTTCGGAGATGCTACAAAATGCGGCAATGCTGCACAGCCTTTTGTAACGAACATAAGGTCTCTTTGCCGTAGCTCATTCTACTGTCTTCGACGCAACGATTATTGATGTTTGATTTCAATGTGACCATCTAACTTATACCAACAGCTCGCATTATGGCCAACCGACATCTATCAAGATGTCGTCAATCTGATCAATCGGTCAAAGGATGGGCTCAGCACTAGAAACATCGGAGGTCCTTATCGGATCTAACAGACGGTCGGCGGTGGCGGCAATGTTCGGCAATCTTGAACAGCCTCAGACCTTCTGCATCAGCCTTGGTTGCTCAGCTCGATCCAGCCAAGGTATCATGGTCAAAAAGCAAGTCAAGAACGAGTTTTTTAAATGTGCGCAGCACGACTGCGTGTGCCAATGTTGAATAGCAAGATTAGACTGCGAAAGGCAGGCGCCATGTGATAGTAAACACGCATAGATTGTACGCTTGTGATACTTTTGTCGAAACTGCAAGCAGGACGACCCGTATAACAGTTGCCAACGTTCGCATCCTATGTCCAGCTTCAGTGTTGGACAAGCGATGTGTGCATCCGTGCCGTTGCAACTCGTACTTGCCGTAACCGAAGCATATCACAGTAGAGTCCCTCTTAGCTGACACAATTGGGCGGATGATAAAATAGGAAGTCGAGGATATTAGGTAGGAGAGGCTGGGTAGTCATGTGACTTACATACAAATAATTAGTATTACTGTGTGCAGGGTTGCCAAGATGGACCAAAATTTTGTCATTAATTACTAGGCGTTAGTAGGTTATAGGGGGGGGGGGGGTTATTGAAAGGGGTTCCACTGTAGTGCGAACGCAGCACAGGTCGACGAGACCCAGCCGATTTTGACACCGACACCTTGTGCAGGCGCGCCAGGGCTATGTCGACCGTTGTAACGTTGCAAATTTGATGGCATCAACTATTTCCGTCGACGTTCGTGTGTATGATTGTATATACTTGAAGGTGTGAGGACAGCCTAAGATGCTGTGAGCTGTGGTAGAAAGACGAAGATAAATTAAAAAGCACTTCCCAATTTGGGCTCTTCGATCAACAACGGACCGAGACGAAGACCCCCTAAGAGCCAGTCATCTGGCCCCCTTACCTTGCACGGGAAGTCCCCCTTAGTGGGGCCAAGGTTAAAAGGGGGGGGGGGGCGGGTTTTATCTCCGCTGCACGTTGGAAGCAATCCTTCGATATCCTAGGGTACGGGGAGTGCCGACAGAGATCGACATTCCTGTGCCTACGTTTGTTCTTGCTCTTCACGAAGTGCTCCACCTCGCGCTGACTCGTTCGCTGCGTGCGATACCCACTCCCACGAAGTGAATTTTCTAAGAGTGTATTCCGTAACGCTCGATGTATCGCAGAATGAGAAACGTCGTACGGAGAAAGTTTGCTTCATGGTACATGACTCGCTTACTCGATACTCCGGGCGTTACGGAATACACTCTTAGAAAATTCACTTCGTGGGAGTGGGTATCGCACGCAGCGAACGAGTCAGCGCGAGGTGGAGCACTTCGTGAAGAGCAAGAACAAACGTAGGCACAGGAATGTCGATCTCTGTCGGCACTCCCCGTACCCTAGGATATCGAAGGATTGCTTCCAACGTGCAGCGGAGGTAAGACTCGCCCCCCTTTTAACCTTGGCCCCACTAAGGGGGACTTCCCGTCCAAGGTAAGGGGGCCAGATGACTGGCTCTTAGGGGGTCTTCGTCTCGGTCCGTTGTTGATCGAAGAGCCCAAATTGGGAAGTGATACCACCGACATATGTACACTGTACAAAAATGAAGCTCGTGGAAGTGGGCAAATATGAAAGCCAGATGAAAAGGAGTGGGTAGTCCATGGTGTCAAACGCCTCTTGTCAATGCCATATTTCGGGGCAAATTCCACACAGCATGCTACGACTGCACTATCGAATGCGCATACTGACGTTGGACACAATGTGCTAGTGAACGTGAACAGCATATAATGATATAGATTTCTGTCGAGCCACAATGCTGCATGAGGCGGCGTGCACACATGCACTTCGCAGACCTCATCAATGCCTATATGTCTCGATTCTCTGTCACCAGCTAGCACGGCTCTTTGCCACTTTCATCCCCATCCCCATTCCACGCCAACGGAAGTACTTAGCAGTCGATATTTGATAAGTTCCGCATCGCGATGGACGATCGCACACATGCGATCGCGACACGTCGATAAGTCGCGGATGTGATCCATACAAGATGGGATACACGGATATTTTCTGAATAATATTAAAAAAATGAATTAAAGATTCCATTGGATTTTTAATTTTTATCGCCAATCCACCTTTTCTCGGCTCGACGTAATGTCGCACACACCCGGACCTTCCCTTTATCTGGCTCCGCAAGCGTCGAACAACTGTTTGCAACCCGTCGGGATTTCCCGAGCGCATGTGCTCTATAAATACAACGCGTCAAATCGATTTGGAACTGTTGGATGTACGCAAAATCAACCAACAGCGTCGACAGATCGTCATGCTGACCTCGACTCTGTAAGGTTCGATACGATGAACGCTATTGTAGCACACGGTGACTTGGTTTGTCGTCCTTTTGTGACAAAGCACACTCGACCTTGCTCCTCACAACGCAATTTTCGATTCGTGACAACAAACGCATCGACACAAACGGCGTCACGCATCCATGCGCACCATTTCTATCCTTCTGCTGGCTGCCGCTGCTTTCGTGGAGAGTGCGTCGTCGTCCACGTCTGATCCGAAAGCTTTGGTTTCTGCTGATGTCGGTCCGCACGATGGGCCCACCGAGACGAGATTCTTGGAATCGAATACGACGGACGAAGCCAGAGCGTTCGGTCTTTCCTTCCTTACGGCTAAAGCGCAGTCCTTCAAATCAAAGATGGCGAAGATCAAGGTTCCTTTCCGTCCGGACGAGGGTCAAGTCTTTGGTGAAAGCGCCATCCATCTCCTTCGTCTGAATCCCAAGGCTCGTGTTACGGAGGGTACCGTACTTCAGTTTTCGATGTTGTGCCAAGGTATACGTGCGAGGACGGTCAAGGGCAAGAATATGGGCGAGATTTTGGTGAAAATGTTGTTGCCTAAATCGAATCCCTTTCAACTGTCAGGGTGGCTGCTACGTCTCAAGCGTCATGGTGCGTCGAAAGAAGCTGACGAAGCATTTGAGGTACTGATAAAGAAATGGGCGACAGAGATCAAGTCCATTGACGACGTCTTGACACGACAGATTGGCATCCCATCTAAATTTGATGACCTGGGTGCAGTGCTCAAAGTAACGGACAATATTGTTATCGCGGACAAACTCATCAGCGCCTACAACACTGTCAAGAAGACGAAGCACCCGACTATTCTAGAGAAAATGTCTGGCAAACATGACGACGACATAGCGCGGTACATTGCGTCAATGGACTTCGACGAACCGTTGGTCAGACTTTGGCAAGGTCATCAATTTCGAAAATGGGTAGACGGTAATGTGCACTTCAACGCCGTTTACAGGATTCTGGGTCAAAAGAAAGGCGATCCGGCGTCTGCCAATCTCGAGGCGATAGGTAGCCGCTACGAAGCGTTCTACAAGTCTCAAAAAAAGGACATCTACGGAGCATAATACATGTATAGTTCTCTGCGCATAAGCTGTGGAGTGCTCGTAGCTCTCGTTCACCGCATTGCAACAGGTCTGTGCGGTAGTCTTTCAAGCTGTAGGGGTAGAACAGACAGATCAGGTGGAGTGGACGTGAAGCTTTTTGCCTGAGAAGTAGCAACTTGATGCAATTGTGCTTTCAGTTTGAGACCGTGTTAATCAAGCATCGTTACTGTTGTCTTGTTCGACCAATATACTGCTTGTAACTCAAGATGTGCTTCATACTCTCACCGAGCACCGTAGCTGCTGACACCAGCTATAAACTGTCGATAAACCGTCGAGTCGTCCGAAAGAAATAGCGTAGCTAAGTGACTCTGCCGCTCCTTCATTCAAAAAGTCAACAAAAATAAGCTCAACTTGTCAAGCCATGAACACACACACTGGAGTACCACCGTTGCTAGCCCTGCCAGCAAACCTATAGTCTGCAGACGGCTACTTTTAACGCAAAGAAGACAGTGATTGAGCTCGTCGCTGCAGCAATTCGGAGCCAACGTTAGATACGGCGATATTAAAACAAGTCAGTGGATCGACACTGACCCTGCCGTCTATGCAGATCGATATATGCAACCATTCAACTTGTTGGGCGATAAGGATTGTATCACTCGAAGCCATGTGGATATTGTGCAATGACCAAATGGCCTTTTCGTGCCAAAGTGATTGTATTAGTCAAGTAGCGCTCATCTTCGTACGAGTGAACCACAACGGATACGTTGCGTCATTCCTCGGGTATCGCCAGTGTCCTCGTCGCTATGTTCGATTGGCTGAACACGCTTCCTCTACCCCACGAGCCACTGGTGACTGACTACTTCTGGTGTCACCCCAGGAGCCAATCACAGCGTGTTTTTCCCTCCAATGTCTCGAGCCAATGAAGCCCAAGTGGAGGATCGGAACACGCTGCTCGGCGTACATGTGGCCGACCTGAGCCGCGAGACACCGCCCAACGCGTTTCTCTTTCCTCGGACGTTTCTGCACACGCATTTCTTGCACGACAGAGTGGGCGTTCATCCGTTTCTGCCCGCGTATCCTCCGCAGATCTTGCAATGGCTGCAGCCAAACCCCCTCACCGAGTCGTGTGTGGGCAAATTCGGTCTCTCGGCAGCAATGGGTACACGTGAATTGTTTCAACGTTTTTTGATGCAATTGGTGCAGCACATGCCGAGCGCCCGAGTACTCACATACGTCCAATTGGTTCGATCGGCTGCCTCGGCTCCTGTAGGCTACGCCATGGGCAATGTGTTTGGACTTGTTTTGGGCAGCTACGAAGGGATTACACCGCCAGTGCCGCTTCCTGGACAACGCGAACTGCCCAAAGTACCGTGGCGAGAGTCGGTGGGTCTACTGATAATCCCTGCTTGGTCAGGATGTGCACTGCCGTGCTGCACTGCTCACGGTGTGTGCTGTGGTGTCGTTAGGTGGCGGGATCGTGGAGGACGACAGCTGGCAAGTGCCGCTATTGGGGCAACAATTTCATGATCATTTCGGGTGCGAGCTTGCGGTTAGTATCTGGAGCAATTCGTTAGCTAGCACGGCTAATTGTTCTTTTCATTTTGGGTCATGCAGCCATGTTCTCGGGTCTCGAGTGCGCGTCCGAAAAGATCCGTGGACGGCACGACGTGGGCAACGAGCTGGCAGCAGGGTGTGCGACGGGTGCAGCGTTGGCAGCAGGACAAGGCGTGCAGGCGCAGTGTCTCGGTTGTGTCGGCTTTGCTGCATTTTCGTACGCGATTAACGTGTTTACAGGTGGCAAGTTCTAGTCGCATTTGTATTGCGGCAATTGAAGATAGACTCCGTCTTGCACCATAGCGAGCAGAAGATATGACAAAATGGTACGAATTGGTCTGCAGTTGTTTGTCTGGCGCACACGTAGGGTAGTGCGGACCACTCGCACGCTATCGCAGCTACTGGCTCACAAGCAAGCTGACTACGTACAGATCGCGAGCATTCTTTGATTCCTGAACAAGCAGTTCAGTCGGGAATACCGATCGTTTGGTGCTGGTGCAAGGCAGCCATTACGGTTGATTGCGTCGTCGATGGAGCTGGTGGAAGCAAATGGGTCGCTACGATTCCGACTGCTGCATACTCTATTGCGCCAGGTGCAAGACAGGTAGACATATGCTGCCTTGCTTCGACCAAGTATCATGTAGACCTTGCGCGCTATCATAGTGGAGGAATGCAGCCTGAGGACACATATTTGCACACGGCCTCGCTAACCTGTTTCCCTGATTGCTGCACCAGTCCAAAACCCACCGTCTTCATCGAGGTTTCCACGACTCTTTATCATGCCGCAGATTCGACATCCATACAGGTTGTGCTTCTCGTTCAGCTATTTTTTCTGGCTAAACAACAATGCAACGAGATGGCAGTGTCGAAGCGTCAACTCTCGTTGGCCATTCGCGGCGCACGTGACGTTAGGACAAACATCTAGCTCTCCAGCGTTTACTCGTACATTTTTACAGATCCTTGTACTCGATCGATTCAGGCTGTGCACTTTGAGTCTCGCACGATTTTCAACAGAGTCAAAGCTCTGAATTCGACAATGACCATTGTTTTTCCAGCCTTGGTCAGCCTCAAGGCGAAAAAACCTGCTCTAATTATCTGGGCCAACCACTGGCGATGCCCAAATGCTTTACAAGTGCTCCCTGCTTTCGCTGGACGTCGAATACCATACTCAAGCGACGTGACGTCCAGCACGCCCAGACAACAGTTTGAGCAAGGTCTCGGTTGAAGAACGGACGCAGCGGCTTGTGCGCCTTTACAGCATTCTATTGTTTCGTAAGGGATCATCTTCCCTGCCTTTTCTTTCGGGCGTCTATCTCTTCTTCCGATGATACAACGTACGCCAGGACAGTGGCATGTGTTCTGTGCGCCATGGTCTTACTGACCCAAATGTGTTGGCATCCTGGAGCTACACATTTTGATTGCAAGAACTTGGTAGCGAGCTATGATATCACTGACTTAAATGTGTTACCATCCTGGAGCTACAGAGTATAATTGCAAGAACTCGGTAACGGTTCAATTAGAGACGCACAAGTGGCAAATGCTTTGCGGGTTCACGTTGTAGGCGCAGGACATTTCCAGTATTCTATCGACAAAATTGGACCAATGCGTTACGCTGAAAAATGTGCAGAGCACCTTATTGATCGAAGACTGTTTACTGGACACTTGCAGGCACGGTCAAATTCGACTGCGGCGCGACAGAAGGTCCATTGACTCCTCAAGAGCAAAGACTAAAAGTGGTCCCAACAGTACTTAATTCGACGTGCTTTCACCGGGCATTGCCTTTTGGGATCAGTTCATATTGCACATACCTGAATAAAGGATAAATTGGGACTGTAAGTCCAATCGAGACTTCGTTTGATTGCAGCTACAATCCACGGATATTCACGTTCAGTACCGTACTTGTAAAGTGATGCAAGAATACACGCAAGCAGTAGGGCTATCCTGGCGCCAAGATGTGTGTAGGTGGATACTCTAGACGGTAATGAATCCGTCTCGTCACGACATCATATGTGTTGCGAAAAATGTTCGGTTCGAATATAGATGCTACTGATATGGGCAACACGTGTCAGACTCAGTCAGGGCACTCATCGCGTAGTATAACACTATTAATTTGCGAAGAAAAGCTACTGGACACCTTCCTTTGACATAAATCCGTATTCTTATGAAGTGTGATTTTGTATGTAAGTTTTGTTGAATGTCGGGCCCTCAACATGACTGCTCAATTTAAACTGCAAAAGGTAACGGCAAGGGCACATGGACTCCAAACATATAGGTCCGCATAATATTATCCAGCTACAACACCGTCGTAGCTGTCTATATCATTTTATGGCCGGCTAAATCTACCGTGTGGGGGCGATGTCACAAATTTATAAAATGAAAGGTAAATCGATCAAGGTGGCTTCAGGCATTTTAAAGCATTAGGTACAAGAGATCTGAGAGGAACCTAGCAAAAGGTATAGGGGCGCCCCTGTTTTATGCATAGAGAATATCGACAGCTAACACAGGTGTCACACGAAGTGCGAAGCCATCAAAACCACCGTACTGACCACAGAAATTGACGTTGCTAACCTGGCTTGGAAATACCCGATATATAGCAAACCATAACTATGATCTGTAAACTGTCTTTTTCCGATCTCTCTGGCGGCACAAGTCTTTACTGATTTGCATCCAGCTACGGTGTCTAGTGTTTCAAACGAATTATCATCTTACAAAAAATGATTTCGTTGAAGCAATTCTTGTCGCATCGATTAACGAATCTAGCAATTTAATGGATCAAGATGGTGTGCTCCACTTTTGCTTAAGGCGCTTCCACGTATCACTACATATGCTAATATAGATCCGATGTATTGATATTGATGGATATGCGTCGCCTGAAAAGCATGAATTCTAGAATCGATTTGTGGTCTTAGCTGTGTTTTTTGGGCACCAGAGCATCTGCGTGATCCACGTCCGTTCTGCGAGCCCCAGGTCAGCCTTAATATTAAAGAAACAATCGTATTTTGAGTTGGATATTATGGAGAACGCAGTATCACAAAGTTCTGTACGTAGCAATTATCATAGAATCTAAAACGCATTACAAGATGGAGATACAGATACACAACCTATGTATGCTATACAGTGATCTGTGCACTGACCAAAAATAAATTCAAGTAAATATTAAAATTTGTGAAAATATTTGCGTAAAATGTACTTGCATAAAAAATAAGAGATAGTCTCTCCGCTAATTTAATAGATGTCGGTCCATTTTTTGTCCTCATTAGCTACATAAGTTTGCAACATGGAAGCTGCCGATACACCGATACCTCTGGTACAGAACACATTAGATCAACTACGTGAGCATCGTAAATGAATGCACTCGCGATTGAATCGACTATGTCCACATGCGTAGCATAACGATGTATATTGATATTTAATCCTTTTATCCGATGTAAACGAAGAGGCCGGAAGCGCTTTTCGTATGTTGAATGTGTTTAACATCAATAGACACTGTTAATCGTATCTTTGAAGTATCCATATTTCAATTTCCCTAATTTTGCTGGCATCACTATAATGATTAGCAGATTATCGGTGTGATAAAATGAATATTCTATCATTATTGCATATCTGGTACGTGCGACCTAATTTGTTGGTCCCCACACATTTGCTTAATCACATATATAGTCCCAATCTGAACTAGCCAATATCGCTTACATGTCTGTAGGTCATTTCATGGTTTCTTATGTCGTTCGTTGAATGTAAAGGGTGAGCTCCATAAACGTCAATGACATAAACTTAAGTCATACGAACGTCATGATAAAATGTAAGCTCTACAAATAGATGCACCAATATATTATTTACCGAAGGAATACCACCCTAAAGGGCCTAAAAACCGCCGCTTTACTCTTTGCTTGATTGATTATATTGCGGCCACACAAACAAACCATTAATTTCTGCTAAACGCGCGCAATGGGCGGCGATCAACATTCCAAATCTCGTGTTTGGTCATATATGGACAGCCTAGTACCAAAATGTTTTGTAATTGAGAATCGACTAGAGTGAATACAATTTAACCTTTTTTGCCCAACGTTGTCATTTCTTAGGAACGATTCATGCTCATTACGTATGTACAAAGTGACGCTGAGACCAGCTGCCTACATCAGGCGGGTTTGGGTAGCTTGTGCTATGTTTGCAATAGGATGGTGCACTTCGCACCTGGTTTCTCTTCACATTCTATCTAGGCGCGAAGTTTTAACATTTAACATATTTATGCTGGACGATGAAGATAAAATATTTTGGTCAGCGTGATAGATCGGTCTATTTTTTGTTGGTAAATAATGGGTAGCGGCCTAACCAATAAGTTTGATTGTTTCAGGCCTGCATCCGCGCAATTTGTTCGCTTTACTTGAAGACGAGCAAATCAGATACGACTATCAACTTTATCCACTAAATAACGTAAACATACAGAAAGTAAGCTCACGTCATCATAAAGGGTTTAAGTTGTAGAGCTGGAGTAATGAGGGGTACAAGAGATCAATCGGTTGATACCTTTGCAAGCTCAGCCTTTTGTCTATTGATCGCGTACGCAAGTCGTTTTAAGTCATAGAGTTAGACATATCAAAGTACAAAGTACAAGGTAGACTTCCTGTATAGATGATTCGTCTCGTTTGACGACGTCATTGGGGATAGCTATATCACTGAGAAGAGATGAAAATCCCATTCTCCCATATAGACGTGGCTGGACGCACCAGATGTTGGGCCTTATAGCTTAATCTTCAAGACACGAATTTGCTTGAGTCGAATGAAAGTTAAAAAAGCAGCTTGGATAGACGTTCCAGCCGGCAAGAGCGGAGTTTATGACTTGATAGGAGCTCTTAACACCATGACAGTTTAAGCGTTACATGTGCAAGTCCGCACACCGGGCTACATCAGGGCTAAATGAATAATGAAGACCCGTTACTTACGAAGTCAGGCAGAACCTTTCGGATGGTTCTGTATGTCTCCACCTGTTAATCTTGAATTGGAATAAGCGAGAACAAGCAGTATTTGCGGCGTAACAAGAAGAATTTAGCATTATCAGGCATAGGTTAAGTCTGGTTCTGATCGTCCCACGAGTAGACAAGATAATCAAGGACTAGAGCCGATGGACCTTTCCTACGCAACTCTGCATAAGGATCCCTACCCAGGATATAGCAGTTCACACAATGTTATCAATGTTAATATCTAGGGTACTACGCCTATAAACGTAGTGAAACAAATTTGGTGCGACGTACAACAG